GAACTTCCCATTAATTGTTTGTTAAGATAATCGTCGAAGTAAAATATATCTATGTAGTAATTTCTATCCATGCACAAGTCAGCTAAAAGAATTATTAAAACGTATTCATAAGAAACTGTTTCTTGCAGATCTTTCCCTAAGTATGCTCTTGCGTTTAGATCGAGTTGAAAATCCTTATCTAAATATTCTAATCGCTACAATGTAGCGCAAAATATTTTCAATGATATCATGACACAACGCAGATAGAGAACATGTAATAGGTGAGACAAGTCACGGATTATCCTTGTCGACAAAAGTAATATCGCCTGCTGCATTATATTCCTACTTAATCTCCGTCCAATCAAGGCAATGTACAATTTTTTAGTCAATTACCATATTAGAAATAACAATATATCGTTTAAACTCTGAACGTAATTGCGTTAAATTTATTTCATCAAATGATCCAGAAGATTTTTAGTAGTTTTGGGCGTGGTTGCTTTTACTGAGTTAACCATATAACTAGATGTTTTATCTGCAAAGCTTTAAGAAAAGGTATTTCTGTTCACAATGCCTTATTTCGTGTGAAAATAGCTCGTATTAAAACATAATTTCTGGTGTTTTAACATCCTCCTTTTGACAGATTTCGTGGAGATGTCATTACGTTGTAGTTCTGATCGGCCATCCGTGAAAAGGAGGCATCAAATGTATTTAGTGGAATCTGTCATGTAGGTTAGCAACGGGAATAAAATTCAAATATCTTAACGCTAATACAAAGGAAATTTACACAGTAGACTGTTGTTGACGCACAGCTCCAAACTGTAAACATTGTCATTCGCGCGTTACTACAAAATGGCGACCGACGCAGGACATAAAAAAAAGGACACGCAGGGTCAAAAAATGGTATTAACCGGGCTATTCTGTGGCACTTTGCTGTTGGCTTGCTTCGTCTTTATGGCAGTGTTTATCTCGTTCCCTAAACCGCGTCTCCCAACCTTGTTCGACAGAGTTGTGTTCACCCTTCGCTGGCTGATGGTGTCTCTTCTCTCGATCTGGGCTGGAGTCAGTTTGGTTGCAAACGTGCGATTTGCAACGTCTGCTATTGACCCACTCGATAAAAGCGGCAAGAAGTACGTAGAAATGCGTTCGAATTTTCTTCAGAACACCGTTGAGCAGTTCTTACTTCATTCTTTTGGTCTCATTGTTTTGTCCACTTACCTGACCGAGGAAAGTATGCACTGGGTTCCTCTACTAGTGATCCTGTTCGTTACTTCTCGAGTTCTATTTTACCTGGGCTACTCCATGCATCCTCTGAAAAGAACCGTTGGATTTGTCATGACATTCTACCCAAGCACTGCAGTCATGCTATATTCTTTGTACTGCTTGATTGTTTATGGATTTGACGCGTATCGCTGAGCCAGTAGAGCTGTTGAACTTTGGTTTACTGTGGACTGAAGCCAAAAGATCCTATTTAAACTGTGCCATCTGATGCTATAATTTTTCAAACAAGCAGAGGAATGAGACTCCTTCACAAAAGGACCCACAAACGTGACAAAAACGTAACTCTTGACCTATCAAACGCACGAAGACAAGCTGGCTTTCTGTTACACTAAATCACTTGTTATAAAGTATTTGATGTAGCAACCTGGTTATGTCTAGAATTTGGATGAATGTGCACGACAAATGCTACATTAATTAACTTTCCAAATCTTTCTCTTTTTCTTTTTTTTTTAACGCAGTACATTAGCCAGAGCTGAAATACAGTTAAAACCGTTATCATGATTGTAACTCATTACTATTACTATTATTCGTTTTTGTGCACGATTCCTCGCAGTAAAGCACTATTTAAGCAATTAATAATGACAATCAGACCTGAAAAACGTACAGGCTTGAATTTGTTCAGGTCTGATTGTCACTATTGCTTAAATAGTGCTTTACTGCGAGGATAATGCACATATACGTTTCATTGCCGCAGTTGAAATACATGTCTCTCATATATTCTTTGTGTTTGATTTATCATCTTACGGGTTTATGTCGAATGAATTTGATAGCCTGCTCCCAGTTAGCTTGTTAGCTCAATTGGTAGAGTGCTGCACTAGTGTCACAGAGGTGAGTGGTTCGAATCCCGTACAGGCCTGAATTTTTTCAGGTCTGATCCCTACCATTGCTTAAATAGTGCTTTACTGCGAGGATCATGCACATATAGGTTTCATAACCGTAGTTCAAATATATGTCTCTCATATATTCTTTGTGATTACTATTAATTATTACATTCTGAAGAGTCAGACACTTCTTTAGAATTTTCACTCGTCTAGGAGGACTACAGGGGTACATTTGACGCCTTACCCCCTCTTCGAAGGTCTAACAGACACTTTCTATACCCCCGCGCTTCGGATCACATGTATGTGGTATCCATCAAAGCCCCAAGTAGCATCAGCATTTGATTGTTATGGGTTTGTGGTTGAACTGAGTGGTCTTATGTCCAAATAATGTAATTAACACTGCTCGATGTAGTCCACAGGTCGAGCTGTCGTAAGGTCTGCACATTTCACAGTATTGGAATACGCGTACGATATTAGTCCACAAGTTAGACAGAGCAAGTAATTTGAGGATAATAACTGCTGTGAGATTTACTTAAAAAAATGTAACGTATAGGCTCATATGATAATAATATTAATAATAATAATAATAAAAAATAAAACCTAATGCATGCGCCGCTGTAGGACTTGTAGACTGTGTACGGTCCATATAGTAATATATGATTTAGAATAAAAATGAAATTAATACATTTTTCTGTTGTAAGCGGCATTTATAATATTCCCTTCGTCTTGATTAACGTTCTTTTTTTTATTTTCATTAGGTAAAAGACGACATAAATTAATTGACCCGAAAAATATGTATACAGTCCATTTTCCAAAACTCAAACTGACCATTTATGCAAATATTTGAATTGACTTGAAATAATTAATTATTAACCATTAATACAAACTGTTGACTGATCGAATTCTTTTGATACAGAAACATAAGCCACGTTTCCGCTATACGTTAGCTTTTCAATGGCACATTTTCTTTAAAAGTGACAGGAAAAAAAACTGAAAACATAATTAGACATTAGGCTCAGTTTTTGTGAGGTGTTACTGATTATGACTCGCATTAAAATTTAAAAGCATTTCTCATGACTCAATTGTTTATTTTCTGTTAGAAAAGTAAGTGATAAAAGAAATAAAAATACCCAAGCTACTCTCTAAGTTTTAGGATTCTTCATTGTTTTTAGTTCTCTCTCATCAACAAATGAGAATATTATGTTTAAATTTGATCACTTTTTCGGAGTTCAGTTTAAAGTCCCTTTAAGTTCTTATCCAAAGGTAAGGCTAAATTCCTGCGTGACCAAAAAAAAAAACCTTGACTGTAATACACAAAAGAGGCCAGGTGAAAATTTAAGCTGAACAATACACGACACTATTCAGGTTCATGGCCGATATTCTGCCGTGGCCATCTCCTGCTTGCATCCTCAGTGCTAAGACATATCGTAAGGGGGATTAGCGGAGATTTACTTGTTAATCCTTCCAACTCTTGAATAACTTCACGAAAAGAAGTTCTTCAAAGTATGCGATCAGTATCCGCCGATAAACAACTTCTTCGAGGTGATTGGTTCAAATATTTTACATAGTGATATCAATTTCACCGTACTTGAAATACTGTGAGTTATCCTTGAAGAGGATTGCTGAGTTACTGCAACGGAGATTAAAGTATCAAGGATAAGATTTTTTGGTGATTGGCGATGTATCACTCTAGTGCTCCTTACTTTAACAGCAGAGCTGCTGGCTACACAGCAGGTTCAGGCCGATTAAATGAATATTCCGCAAAACCAGCTTCCTCGACGTCTTCGGTGTATTCCTATAAACCGAGTTCTGCCTCAACTCAACCCGGCAGCTCCACTATTGAAAGTTCGACCGGCTCAAGATCACCGTCAGTGAGCTACATTACAACAGGGGCCAGCCGATTGAGTGGGGAACTTTCTTCAGTTCATCGGGATGCAGAACCCTCTAGGTAAGTGCAGTTACTTTCTGCAGTGAAATATTTCAATTTAGGGGATGCTTCGGGTTTCAATTTGAATGCATTTCGAGCCCGCTGTGATTCATATATGTTGCCTAAAGAAAAATAGCGCCAAAAACTAATGTACAATATCACCTGGTTGATAAACTGAAATTATCTTTTTCTTTATTTTCAACACCTTTCTGCTTGGAAACGTGTCGATCTTGGAGGACCAAATTCTATTTTTGTCACTCTTAGGAATGAACGGGTAAATCCAAACTCACCACACTCCCTTGAAACACTAACGTAAACATATCACGTAGGATAAAACAAGAATAAATTTTTGCGTTTATGAGCGAAGCTAAAAAATATATAAAAATGATCTATTGTATCAACTTCTCGAAATCGACCCACAAATAAAGCTAGCTCTAATTGAGAACCCACATGTTAAGCCTTTTAGGACGACTCGATAAAAAAATTCAGGACAAGCAAAGAAAAAGAGGAAAGCGAAATATAAAAAGCAAAGGAGGCTTCAACGATTCCGTACTATAATTAATGGGATTATAAGACACTGTCAAATATAATAAATTCGCTTGATGTTGGACCAGAAGCGCGCCCTCAAATATAAGAACCAAGAGTAGATCAACATAATTAAGAAATAAACTTATCTGATTTACGGCAGATCATAGAACACCTTACAAAAATCTGGGAAATCAGAGTACCGTATACATAAGTTGTCCGAGAAAAGAAAACTGGCGCATGAAAAGAGAATAATTTGCAATTGTGGACGATAATTTTTATGAAAACATGTTAAGAGCTTAAAGAAAATTATTTCTCATTCGGATTTGCTGAATTTTATGGTGCGAATGAAGAAAGTCGATGGAACGCCAGGGGATTATAGCTATCCCTCCTTAATTTCCGGGACAATGAACTCACTTGTTGTGTGGAGAGATTTACAGTGAAAAACACAAAAAAGTGACCCGGATCATCACCAAATCCTCACCAGGTCCTATACCTGGAAGCTAGACCATACATTTCACATCCCTCTCAAAGGAGCCCAAAATATTTGTATTGATATAGTTATATGGATTAAAAATATCATGGTGGCGCCTATATTTAAATCAAAGCGGATTATTTGGTCTCTCTTTAACAATATCGAGATCAAGTATTAATTCCTCATGGATTAGCATTAAGAACATTTCATCTATCACCGGGGGCAAGCCAAAATACGAGATCGGGTAAACTTACAAAACTAAATGCACAAATTAATGTAAAACGCTGGCTTTTGTACGCGCATTAAATAAATGAAATTGAACCAGGTCTTTTAAAAGCATTATTATTGGAAATAAGTGGTTCACATGATTGTCCTCAAATTAATTTTTGTTTTTTCATCATCCTTTAATCAGAGGGTATACCGGATCAGAAAGGAGTTATGACAATATCAGAGCAGCAGACGTCTCAGGAAAGCCAGTTGTTTTTTGTTGAGTAACACTTCTCAACCGAATACAGCCACTTACACTGGGAGTTCTACTCGCCCAGTCGCAAGTACTGTCAGGTAATTTTATCTGGAACTGACTCAGTTTGAACTTCAATGTTATGCCGGCGGGGAAAACGTGCATCACTTTGTTTAGTTTAGAAAAGCTTGTTTTAGAAGCAATCATCAGCCATGCACCATAGTTGCAGGAATGAAGTATTTTCAGCGTTCATGTAATCTGACTTTCGAAAGATTCATACGAATCCTTCAAATTTCATTAAATCAAGCTGTAGTGTTAACCGCCTCCCGGTTAGCTCAATGGATAGACCGCTGGACTGTTGTGCGGGAGGTCGAGGGTTCGAGCCTCGGCCGGACCAACACTCAGGGTCTTAAAATAATTGAGAAGAATATGCTACCTTTCTATAACA